ACGATTAAATTGCTTTTCAAAATGCTCAGCCTAACGCTCCAAACTTTTTGACAAATTGTGGATAGGCTGTCCACTCTCGTCACGTATAGTTTCACTAACACCAGGTCTCCTGTTGCCCGTTTCCCGTATCAGACAGAATAAGTTACGATGGTTGCCAAGGGCAGCGGTCACTTCCATCTTTGACGCACGGTGAGACCACCAAGATTCGTGGTCTCTCTTCAGGCTAGCACGAAGTCTTGCCCGGAGCTCTTTGCGAGTTTCATTGTGTTCGCTTACAGCCGGAATATGCCGGCGAGCATCGATAAGTTCCAGAGACCGTGAAGAGACCCAATCTCCATGTTGGCGATTAGACTTATCACATGAGGATTTGTCTGCTGCTAGTAAGGTCTGGTAAACATGCGACCAGTGACCTACAATTGTATCCAATGAGCGCTTACTCAACTCGTATGTCAGCGCACTTCGATACGCATTCAGAACAGCTGGCTTTGTCAGTTGGCTGATGTCAATGCGCTCACAGCGTCGTCGTGGGCGTCCGCCAAAGCGCATCCGCAGGTCAGCACATACATGTGCATGATCGGTGTCCACACATGTGCTCCAAATCGAGCGACAGTTCTGGACGTAGCTTCTCCATCGGTAACTTATCGCAATGTGATCGATTTGCGTCCAAGGCTGGTGGGAGCCAAGTCACCCTCCGGCGGGTGCAGTGTCGGAAATTAGTGCTCGCAAGAAATAAGCGAGCATCCTCACACAAATGAAGTAACCGCTCACCGTTATCATTACGGGAGCCTACACCGTGCTGACCGCCTATCCGGGAATCAGATACAAACATAAAAAAGGGAAAATATATAATGATGATTGAAAGCTGGGCTGAAGTGAATCGCCTACCCGTGCGGTCGATCAGGCAATCGATCGAGCGGACGAATGCATTTTCAAACACCCGGCTAATTGGACTTTTGCCTCAGAGTTGAGAGGACAGTGTTTTCGGCGGCATTTTCTGGCTACGTTGGCAGAGTTTTTGTTAACACGTTTTTCGTGGTCAAGGCTGTTGGAATTTTGATTTTTCTTCGGCTGGGCTAGAATTGCTGCGGAGAAATTTCTGGGTGGTTAATTCGGAATAGCGAAAAAAGGGAAGATCTAACACCGCCCAAATGCATTTCTTCAGTGGACAACTTTCCAACTTCGCGTTCAAATCCCCAGACAGCACTACAGTGTCCGTGCTTCTTCTGTGGCGAAGGAGCTGGGTCAGTTAGCGGTAAAAGTCGTTCTTTACCGAATCGTCGCTACAGTTTGTGGGTGCGTCGGCGGCGATGATAAATAGACACCTGTTAGTCACACGCGACTTCGAAGCTTTGAACGAGCCAGCCAATCGGACCGCACACATCCGGCTACTGATTGGAATCCAATCAACCAGGGCAGCTTCAGCCCGGAGACTCAGGGCAATGCCAACACCGGCGTGGTCGGTACCCGAAGCTGCATCGTCACCAGATAGGCGTAATGAGAAAACACTGCTATTGTCACCTGAAGGGGATCGCAGAGTGAGCAAAGAGCTCGAGTCTTGCAGGCGGGTCTCTGATAAGCAGCAGATGTCGATCGAGAGGGTCTCCAATGTTCGGGCAAATGCTGCCTGTTGACCGATCTGTAGTAATGTGCGTACATTGAGGCATGCCAATCTGAAGGATGATCGAGGGCTCCAAATGCAAGCCGATGAACTGGAATGGACCGCTTGATTGGACATGGGCTTATCGACATGAGAGGAGTGACGCTCCGCGTTCACATGTGAGTTGAAAGTATAAGATAAATGGAAAGCAAAGCATGTTGGGGGAGGGCCAAGAATCGGGGGGCTGAAAACTGGGGGGATAAAAGTGAAGTTGGAACGGGACGGTGAGAGTGAAAAAGCGCAAGAGGGAGAAAAAGAAGACGGGAAGGCTTGAGCAGTAGCATCCAAACCCCTATCCACCCTGCTCGATGCAGCAGATAGGGCACCGTTGATTATCCTCTGCGGTGGCCAGAGTATCAAGAAATTGTTTGAGGAAAGGTTCATTGTATTGCGTGGGCAGGATACTGTCAGGTTGCCCAGGCCTAGACAGCTTCGAGGGGAAGTGTTAGGCCGTTGGGTCCGGTGCATTAAAAGTAAGTCATCGTTTGGCCCTAGCCACGAACTTCACTCTCGACCACTGCTCCACTGTGGCAGATGTATATGAGATCGCCGATCATGTAAGGCGATCTATATGACCTTGCCTAACCCAATGTTCGAGGTAACGCGTGACTTGAGGTTTGATGAATACACTGACCAAGGAGGTGGAGTTTTAGTTCTGACTGCTCCATATCTCACCAATTACGCTTATAACAATTGTGGATTCATTCATTCATTATATTCGTTAGCTAGAGGTGGGAAACACCTCAGCTACTGTGCCGCAATACATAGAAAAAGGAGAAAAATATTCAACTGGTGCAAGCCAGCTGAACTACCGGTAACGGATGGGCATCGTTCCGGGTAGTTACCAGCAGGATAATGTGCATCAAAAAATTACTGCAAAATTATATAAGGCTAAATAGTAAGATCCTGGTTGGAGGGGGAGGCTAAGAGGGATGGGGTGGGACAAAGAAACTCACAGCGCGAGCGCCACTGAGGTCGGCTCCAAGCCAGCCAAACGTGGTCATCGTGTTTCGGACCACAACCAGGGAGCCGAGACGATCCAACCGAGGCCAGCTCAGAAGTGAGGGCCTTCACTCCTCTCGACCAAGTCATCGCTTGGCCACCCCTCCTCTTCTTCCATACACACCCCCGGCGCACAAACAACGCACGTCGTGGGAGTCGGTGGGCTGAAATGCGTAACACGTTGTCGAGCCATCGGAGCCTAGTGTGTGAAATAACGGTGCTGAGCGGTTCATTTCCTTTTCCTGTGCCGGAAACAATACGTCGAACACGCTCGTTGCTAACTCTGTGTTCCCATCAAACGTGAGCTAAATTGCGAACGCACAGGTGTTCGAACGTAACTAGCCTCTTTCCGTCCCCTGATCTTAGGGCCAGGTTTCACAACAGTACAGTAGGATCGAACCTATCGCTGCATTGTACACTCTACCCTTCATGGCGAGAGTTATGTCGCGCCCGCGCCATAAATGACAAAGGTTAACAAAAGCACCCCGAGATTTTGCTATATGGTTCGTGATCTCATCTTCAATCCCACGGGCGCTGATACAACTTCCCAGGTAGTTGAATTTTTGAATGACTTCTAGCTGATTCCCACCAACGGTCAGCGTAGGGGGCGGTTCAGACCAATCTTGGAGGAACGCTTTGCACTTCGACGGTGCGAAGCAAAGCCCGAAATGACGGACAGCCAGTGCTAATCTGTCCATTGTCGCTTGACACGTTTGAGCTGTCACATATTAGGGCACTATCGTCAGCATACTCTAAGTCAAGAAGTCGTCCTCCTGGGACCAGATCCACGCCTTATAAGTCCTGTCCTGTAAATGCGGTTTCCATGACTTCATCAATAGCGAAGTTGAAGAGGAAAGGTGACAGAGGGCATCCTTGTCTCACACCGTTGGAGATATTAAAGGAAGACGACAGCTTGCCGTAAGGCCTCACTCTGCCCGAGCTACGCGCATATAATGCTCGGATAATATTCACATATTTCTCAGGTACACCTTTCCTGAGTAGACAGTCCCAAAGTGCATGTCTATCCACCGAATCGAATGCACCTTTGTTATCGAGAAACACGACAACGGTGGGCCGCCACTATATGTGACGGCGCTCCAACAACTGACGCAAAGTGATGTGGTCAATGCAGACACGAACTCGACGAAATCCGGCTTGCTCTTCACGAATATGGCTTTCACGAGCGCCAATCAATCTGTGAAGGATAACAGAGGCAAGCAATTTGGAAGCGATAGAGATCAGACTGATCCCTCTATGACTGCCGCATTCCGATCGTGAGCCTCGCTTGAAAGTTGAGACTATGACGGAGCGGCTCCAGTCGGTTGGGACAGTTTCCTGCTCCGATGGAAATTACACTGGTTGGATGGATGGTTCAAACTTGAAACAGTCTGACGATGCGACAAACGAGTTGAAAACTGTGTGGCTTGGGTAGCGACATGTGAAGAGTAAGCTCTGGGAGTCAATAACCTGGAACAAAGTCTACGTAGTGAGAATTCAGGTAAATGTACAAGTTCTGACAGTTTCTGAGTCCTTAGTTAAATGTCCGAATGGCTACAAAACACAAATTCAATTAAGTGGAACTGAAGATAAATACACGTTGTTCGTCCGGATGAAGTGAGGGCAGGTAGGAAAGCGGGAAATAAGCGTTTCCATTCTTTACTGTGCCGATAAGGAATGGTGTGTCGATAATAAACAGCTGCAAGTCAGAACAATAGTTGTGTTGCCACTGTGAATAGGAGCGACAACTTCCCTCAACAAATGACGCTTATGGTGGTGCGAACGCTGACTAAGCTGAGTCGATATTGAATGTTATATGTAACGGAGCACAATCCATTCAAGGATAGTAGTGCAACGGTCCGGTTGATATTAGTTATTCAAATTCCAACACTGGTTTGTGGTGGTAGTTATATCACAGCAAAGCAGAGAGTGAAGCCAGAAAATCATCTAACGAGCGACTTGAGATGTGGTGCATTAAGAGAAGCCAACCAACGTACGGAAGAATAAGGTCGTAAAACGCCAAAGACTTAAATGTGTATGTGTTCAACAAGCATCGCAAGGCTAGACAGCGCACAATACCAGAAAAGTGTATAAATGGAAGAATGAACAATGAGCACAAGGTGTCACCATGCATTGATGATGTTTTCCCGTTTGGTGATAAATTGTTGGCAGCAATATTGTCAAACTAATTGAGCACATATATAAACCTGGGCAGCCAACTCCAGTTGTCAGCATTACGACTCATTTCGTTAAAAGAGGACGGAACTACCGTGTATGGAAAAAAGAAATGTAGCGTAACAGTACGATATTATTTACGGATTGGTACATAAAATCAAAAACTGACCTGATTTAGAGGGAACATCTCCATCGTCGTATTCAAAAGCTTCGTTGAGTTCCGGATGGGGTTCGTGAAAGCCCGGACGAACAACTTTACGAAAATTTTCGATGGCTTTCAAACGATCGGATCCCCTAAGAGAAGAGCGGAGGAACTTCTCTTCTTCTGTTCGCTCCCGCTCCTCGTCAATACGCTTCTGGACTTCATCAGCGTAGTCCCTTAGAGTTCGCCCATCAGGAATATCACCCATATTGGCGGCTAAAGAAGAAGCAGATAAGAACCTACTTAGTCGGAGCACAAGTACATAGTAGAATCGTTTGCTATGAGTCGTGCGGACAACAGAACAAGAATACAGGGCAAGACTACAAACCTGTGAACAAAAATTCAGTAAGATAAGCCGAAAATCCAAAATATCGACTGAGAAATAACAGCATAAAGTTCTGAGTTCGCGTGAGAGGCCAGTGTCACAATCCTCACTTTGGAAAAAAGCAACGTGAACTCGCAATGTTAAAGCAAAAGCAGGCACCAGGTCCCAGTGGCCTTTCTACATCATTGCCAAAAGATGGGATTGGTTCATTGGTAGTAAGTCAGCCCATTGTAACTAACTGGGATCATGAAGAGTCGACTTCAGAACAGCGACTACCAATCATTATCCTCGTCATCAAAAAGATCCAAACAACGATATATGAAAGCCTACAGTACATTAACCATGTTCGTTGCTCTAAAACTCTTCACCAATCACTGATCCGTTTCGAGGCCCTCTCGGTAAGAGTAAAGCTGACTTTCACCCTGGCCAAACCTGTAGTGATCACGTATTTGCTTTTGTTAACTTCTGGAGTAAAGAAAAGAGAAGAATCACTAAGGCGAATTCCTCCTAATTAATAACCGCTCTCGACTCCGCCGATGGCGCCATAATTTAGAACTGCCTATCCTTAAAGGGTGTGCCAGGAATCCTCTCCCTTACCTTGAATTTTTCCAAAACGGAAGTAAACTATGTGCTCTCAGACACGGTAAGTCGGCTCCTAACATACTTCAGTCTGATCTGAAAGCCAACTTCATATGACCCGCCGCTACCACAAAAGAGAAAGTTTCACCGTTCACAATGGTTACGATAAATTTCAGGCACACAGCTAAAACAGTTTTCTCGAAGACGTGGTGCACTGCCTACCGTCCAAGACTGTATCCTATTTGCTGAACGCTTGGTATACAAGTTGGAAACAAGTTTGGAATCCGGAAACGAGTCCATGCCAGATTACCTAGTGAAAACTGAACGAAGGCACGGATGAGGTTACGTCTACAGGCAATGCATCGATGTTTGGATCAAGAACTTAATAGACTCGTGCTTTAAGTGACAGCTAGCAGTGGAATCTCTTCGAAGATGTGAATTGCTTTCATTACCAATACTATCGAAGCCATATACAAGAATACAACCTTATTTTGCAGGGCTAATTGAATGGTCGAAGTTCCCGCTCTTCACTGATGCAGACGTCGAACACTCCCCTGTCATTCACTATAAAACTGGGAAACTTACTTTCGTTTCGAATGTCCGGAAACAATATCACACAACGATGAGACTGGACTTTAACGTGTTACTGTGATTTGCGTGCCGCTGGGTGGTACTTTCCCAGTGACTTCAGAGCCATTCATACCAGACACGCCAATGGTTGTAGGTCAGACCAATTCAGTTTCACAACCCTCTTCTGAAGGTGAGAGGTTGATGACCCTTATCCCTCGAAACGTAGCCACGCGTAACTACAGGTTACCGTTTAGAAACTCCGAGTTCAACGGGTGCTGAGTATGATCGTCACGCAGTGTCTCTGATAGTAAGGAAGTAAAGCCAGTGCTCAATGTTTTGATACCGCATGTAAACCCGCCAACGTTCACCTATAGTTGGCACTGGTCATGGGTACATAGCATACTATGGTAGAAAACATTATAACTGTTCGAGCCAGCAAAAGGCTGCTTGAGGCAGAATTCAAGTCGGTCCTGATGAAACTGTGTAACCACATCTTCGAGCTAAACTTACTCCCCAGTGGCTCATGAGTCTGGCTAATAAACCAAAGGCTCCGGATGGAGTACCTCAAGCGGACTTTCAGGTCAGACTGCTGAATCAAAGGTAGGACACCCCGAATAAAAGCTTTCTATCTCAGAATAGACAGTTGGATAGTATCATCTGCCCTCGATCCAGTCGCCAATACTATTCCTGCTTCAAGTTTGGCTCTGCCGTTAACATCGCAATTGGTGCCATCGATACATGTAACTCAACTCTCAAACAAAAAGACTTATTCCACGTTGGCTCCGAGTCAGATCGGCCAACCTATGGCACTAACTCCCACACTTCACACTCTTGGTATTGATGTGTGCTGCGTCTCCGAAACACGCACAAAAGATAACAGTGTCGTGACGCATCTTCGACTCCACACTCTTCGTGTGTCTGGCGATATTAAGTCAACAACCCAAGGTATGTGTAGTGTTGGTATCGCTCTCAGCAAACATGCCGAGAACAATCTATTGGACAGAATAACGGTGAATGGCAACATGTGTGCTATTCGACTTGAGTTAATAAGCACCGTTTGAAGACCAAGAAAGTGCCTTTTCATCGTTTCCGTTTATGCGCATACTGAAAGCAGTTCGGAGGGTAGCAAAGAGGATTTCTATCGTCAACTCTCGTTACTTCTCCGGATGGTGAAAATACTGATATCGCGATCGTTGCTGGTGACAAGAAGATCCACCTGTGTCGACTTTCAGACTCTAAGGCAGATGAACACCGAACAAACAATGGCGAACGATTCCAGAAAGTACGAGCCGAACACAGTCGTTATACTAGCAGCACAGCCTTTTAGCGTAAAAGGACACATTGTGTTACCTGACGCCCACCGAATTCTTCGACTACCTGCATCCAAAGCTGTCGTAATAAAATCACCTACAGGTGGCGAACATCAATCCGACTGTTAACTGACTTGAAACGCATGCCTAGATTCCGACCTTGCTCCAGTGCGCACACACTGAGCATTCACTTTTCCCGCTAATAAAAAGCACCTAACTTCCAAGCTTTTCACTTGGACCCCGGACTTGCAGTCCGAAATTCAACACCTTGATGAACTCATCATCATTATACACGTCAGCTGCAGGTGGAAAACACATAGGCTACTGTGACGCAATACACAAAACAAAAAGAGGAAAAAATACATGCAACTTAAGCATGCCAGCTGAGCTACCGGCAACGTATGGGCATCGTTCCGGGTAGCTACCAGCCAGCTAGTATGCAATTAAAAACTATTAAGCAAAATATTATGCGAAGAAATGAGATGGTGGTTAGAGGGAGGAGAGTGATAGGGATGAACAAAGAAACTCACACCACGAGCGCCATTGAGGTCGGCTCCCAGCCATGTTAGCAAGAATATCCAGCTAAGTTAGCAAGCATATCCAGCCAAACGTGTTCATGCTATTTCGCAACCCAACCAAGAAGCCGAGACGCTCCAACCGAGGCCAGCTCAGAAGTAAGAGCCTTCATTCTACTCGACCAAGTCATCGCTTGGACACCCCTCCTCCTCTTCCATACACACCCCCAGCGCGCAAACAACGCACGTCGCGGAAGTCGGTGGGCTTGCATGCATAACACGTGGTCGGGACATCGGGACCTGATGCGTGAAATAACGGTGCTGAGCGGTTCATTTCCTTTTCCTGTGGCGTAAACAAGGTGTCGAACACGCTAATCGCTCATGCGGTGTTCCAACCAGATGTGAGCCAAATTGCGAAAACACCGGTGGTCGAATGTAACTAGCCTCTTTATCATCTTGATGCACTGGCCAACAAGTTATCAGTGATGAATGAAGCTGGCGAGCATAATGTCAACAAACGGTCAGAATTGTGCCATGAGGATTGCTTTTGACGCCTGCCATAAGCCCAACATGAGATGTCCGAACTGCGAATGAAGTACCGAGTCACTGAACAGTTTGATCGAAGCAAGAAACAGGTCCCGTTCAGTACTAGGTTTTAGCGTGTCCATAACAACCTGCGAAGATGACTGACAAGGAGTGTTCGCAAAGAAGTGGAACGTTTGTAGTTAGCGAGCGACCGTGGGATGTAGAAAGTCAGTGCTATTGGGAAGAGTGCAGTACTGTTCCAGCTCAACAAGGATACGGGTAAAAAAGACCTTCAGTAAGTAAGACCATAAGAGAGAAAGGTAGATAGCTGACTCGTCAACTAGCCCATCGGGAGGAACATTTCGAAGAGCAGTTCGGTAGACTTGCTGTGATACTGCCGCCTGTTAAATTACCTGAGCCGACGTAGGATGTTGAAGTCATAACTCCTCCTTTGGAAGAGATTCGACATGAGCTTGCCGTATTGAAACGAAACAAGGCTCCTGTTTGAAAAGACCTCTCATCATCTTTGCCGAAAAATGGAAGTGACTCTCTACTAACACGATTTGGGAAACTGAATAGATGCTTTCAGTTTGAAGGCTGTCAACTAACCTCACGCGGAAAGCACTGAGGAATCGGCCTTAGCTTCAATGCCTGGAAAATTTTTAGGGGTATCATAATAAGCCTAATTGCTGAAACTGGTCGAGCCGAACCACTAAAAGACTTTCACACTGGTCAGTATTGTGTCGACCACATATTTGCTCTTCATCAATTGTTAGAGCAGACACATAAAGGCGACTACCATGGTGGTTATCTTTGGCCTGAAAGCCGCCTTCGACTCTTTTGACCATGCTAGCCTGCGATGCTGCTTATCCGTAAAGAATGCAATCAAAACTCCAATTCTGAAATCTCCCTACCGTGACTCCAGAGACCGGGCAAACGTCTACGGGAAACTGCTTTCTGAGTTCCTAACAACAAGTGGGGTTTGTCATGGTTATCCTATATCTCTTTTCTTCTTTTAACTTTGTGATCGAAGTGATCACACATGTCTTGTAATCCGGAGGTCATTGGTCCAAACCTGTGTATGGGACCGGGCGACTCACGCAGTATCCTTAATCGACACGCTACCGGTGGTGGTTGCGTGGCAGCGAAGCGTCGGTACGGTGTATCGGCGTACTGCTGACGTCTTTGTCTTACTCATGTGAAGTGTAAGTTCTACCAAGTGACCAACTGACAAACCTTGAGCATGCAAAGACTACATAGCTCCTGTCCGATGCACTAGTTATCCAAGTATCATGAAATATACTGACGTGTATCATTGCACGTTTCGGCATGTGCTTAGTACCCTCAAAGTGAAAAGTATTGCTGCAGGACTGCACCGACCAGCCACCGAAT